ACAATTATAGTCAACTCACATAAATCTTCCCCAATGCCAATTACTTTTAAGGCATTTAAAACAAAGTGCCACTCTAGACAGTTATGGGCTTTCTCCAGATCCACTTTTATAGCTAGCTAGCCCTTTTGTCTCTCTCTGTCTCTCTTCTCTTCTCTTGTTTCTCATAAAGTAGATAACCTCTGGGTAATGATTATACTGTCATTGCTTTGTCTACTCGTGATAAAATTGCATTGATGGGTTCTTACCACTTTATCCATGATTCTTTTAAGTCTATTGGTCACCACTTTTGAAACAATCTCATAGTTGACATTACAAAAAGATATTGGTTTAAAATCTATTATACTTTTTGGGTTGTCCTTTTGGGTAAAAGAAGAAGATGAGTATCATTCAAACTTCCAATAAGTTTAAGAGTGCGAAACATTCTTCACTAATTCACAAATGGACTCTCCAATGATATTCCAATAATTATATAACATCTCGAAAAATACTCTCTTAATTAATTAACCTAATGAAATGTAAAATTTATAAATTTAAATATAAATGAATTTGATAATAGTTAGAGACAGCTATTAGGTTTAGTTTTAGTTTTTTGTTTTTGAATTGGATTTGAAGTGAATTAGGTCTCCTAGACTCAAATTATGTGAAAAATTAAATTTTTTGCTTACTATGTGTTATGTTACAGCATAATTTTTAGAATCGTTTTTCTAAAAATGCAAAAACATCTAAAACAAGGTGTGAAATGAGTCTAAAATAAAGGGAAAGCGATGAACAGAGTTGTTCCTTTGCTAGAGCATCAACTTTTAAGCATTTTAGAGGTGATTAAGCTTGATTTCACCTAGGTATGCCTTCTTATCTCTTCTTCTTCTTCTCTTTACACATTTTATAAGTGAGATTTAAGGTTAGGAGATGATGATTTTTGAACCTAGGGCTATGGGTCCAAATCCATTGATCTAAATGGGACTAATGAGAGTTGTTTAAATTATTTAAGCCTAAATATAGTAGTTTTATGCATGAGAGCAAGGTTTCAATTATGGATGAAATTATACCGTAAAGTGCCATAAATGATCGTGTTTAGGTAGGTTGTTGGCATTGATATTGATTAAGGATTGTGTTAGTATTAGTTGGCGCTATGAGAGCTAGTAACTTAATATGGTGATTAAACTTAATAGTTGAGAGCTTTGGGTTATTAAAATGTTGAAAAAAGTGAGTAATTTATAACATTGATGATGATTTTAGATTGTTGGATAATATATTAGTGATTATTTAAGTTGTTGAGAGCTAAATAAAATTAATAAGAGTTAAAGAACTCATTAGACACGAGGTTGATCATGTAGTTGAGAAAATTTGATTATTAAAGTATGAAATTAAATGTTGGAAATGGTGATTTTGATGATTATTAGTGATAGGTGTTAATGTTAATTATAGACTAACCTCACGAAGACTAGAGAACTTGAGTTTAGCTCGAAAGCAAATGATAATGATAGGGTAAACATTTGATCTCTCAAAGGTTTGAAATAATTGAAAAAACTTAGTTTGTATAGTTAGATATTAATTACTTATTGATTGAAATTGTTGTTTGAAAACATGATTGATATTTTGAATTTTTAATGGAAATTTGGCACTTTTTGAAAGTTATGTTAAATGGTTGTAAATAATATACATGTTCTGTATGTGCGAAATCATTTTAAAAAAAATGAAGAACCTTATGCATGTTGCATATATGATTGTGATGAGTATGTGAGTAAGGATATGTGAATTCATGATATGAATTGCTTATTAGAATGCATATGCATATATGGTATACGTGTATAGCATGATCATTGGTGAGAGTTCATCTAGAAAGAGGAGTAATAATTGATTAAACCTTTGTGGTATTGGCAGTGATTGTTGGAATCGAAAGCTTGCCTTAGCATCGATTGTTAGAATTAAGAGGTAGCCTTATTTTATAGTTAATTTAAGACTATCCCACTTATTCTATGAGGGACTCAAACCTAATTATCTCCACTGATTCATGAGAAGGTTGAATTAGGGATACGACACTCCATGATTGTTAGTATTAGAGGAAACTAGATTACACAAGCGAGTGAGTTGACTTTGGCACAGTAGCTCCTCACAAGTGGAAGGCTGGATTAGTCTGTGAAGGACATGACTATCAAATAGCCACCGGTTTTATGTCCATGGTAATAGGAGGGTATAAGGTTAGTGTATGATCATGCATTTAGTTTCGGCCACATGATTATTAATATTGTGGTCCAGTGCGATTTAAGGGTGCATAGTTAGTATTATTGCCATCTTAAGTTGTGAATTATTAATATATATGATTATGTGTTTGAAGCTCAGTTACATAATTGTTATTATTATGGCCGAGGCTATACATTGTCATACATGCTTTATATGTATGTTTAGTACTAATTGCATTCATTTTTTATTGATATGTAACTGTATAGATTAGGTAAAACTTGATTTCTAAATGGTTGTACTCACCCTTTATTTAAAATTTTATAGGGCTAGCTCTGATCGGGATAAGGAAAAGGAATATGAGGTTTAGGAATTAGATTTTCACTGTAATACCTCAAATACTTTTAACTAATGTGTAATTATCATGATATTACCAACTAGGATAATTATGTTGACTACTTTAACATTGCATTCATATGTGATTATGGTTAGTGTTTTCATTTCCTTGATCAATTTATATGAGTTAAACATGCTTTTTTTAAAGCCAAATGCTGTGTAAATATGTTTTAAGACTATTTTAAGGGTTGTAAATGTATAATTGGATAATTTAAATGATGATGACCTCTCTCTTTGCTTTTGATGAATTTATGGTAAGAAGTGAAACTATGATTTGTGATATATATGTGTATTGTGGTGTGTTGCACAAGTCATCTTAAATCTCTTGAGTATGGTCTAGATGATCATGTGAGCTAATGGCATTTTGGGTTGGGTTTTGGACACTTTAGAAGTTAAAAAACATGAGGAAGTAGTAGTTTTGATTCGAGTGTTTAACTTTTTGATATGATAGAATGTAAATGAGACTCATGCCATTAGCTAGTTCACTAAATGAGCTTTCTTTGAACACTTATATCATTTCAATCGAACGTCGGGTGAAAATTTAGTGCGCATTGAAAGTTTAGGCAGGAAATCTACTATGACAGTTTTTTCTGTCATAGATTTTACAGTTGTAGCATAAAATTTAATGTTGCAACGTGTTATGCTAGAATCTTTACTTTTTCTTTTTACCTTGTATGATGTTCATGTTTCTGTATACATGTTTTGCTCTGATTTTATTTTTGTAAAATGATTTTTATAGCATTATAAGTTTTGAAAATTTAGGATCTTATTTATAAAAATTTTACAAACTTGGTAATTCATTTGTGTTATTCCCGTAATTACCTTATTATTGGGGATAATTGTGGATTAGTAAGAGAGACCTTATAATAATCTTGGTAGAAAAAAGCTTGTAAACCATCCGATCCTAAAGATTTGAAAATGCCCATATCAAAAAGGGCATTCTTGATCTCTTCATTTATTACCTCAATATGGAGCTTTGAAGCAATATCTTGATTAAGTACGGGGAAAGAGTATTGAGTTACTAGCATAGGACTACTATTACTATCACTTTTAAACAAATTCTCGTAATAGTTCATAGCCAAAGAGCTCAGCTTATCTTGAAGAAAAACCTAATTATCATTACCATCTTTAAGACTTTCAATCCTATTTTTGCTCCATTTGATTTTGGTTAAATTATGGAAGTTATTTTTATTCCTATCACCTCATTTAAGCCAATTTGAATGAGCTTTTGATACCAAATTAATTTTTTTGGGCAAGAACCTTATTATACTCCTTCCAAAGTTTCTTTTCAATCAACAAAAGAGCTGGATTATCACTCTTAGTTGCGCATCTTTCCACACCTTCAATTCTTTGAGAAGCTTGTTCTTTTTTGCAAGAATATTCACACTTTATGTTTGTTCCATTCAATTGCCTTATATTAAAAACTTTAATCTTCTCCACCTAGTTACTTCCCTTTAAGCATTTTGCATATAAGAGAAAGCATTCTCAAGGAGCCAAGCAGCTTGACACTTAAATAAAAGGGTAAAACTTTGTTTTCTAAAGTTAGCTAGATTTGTCAATAACAACAACGTATTCTTTGAGCCAAACTTGCTAAGGTGTGAACTTTATAATAGGAAAAATCATCAAACCAACTACAATTCCAAAAGTCTAATCCAGACACTCTTTCACAAAATTCTTTTCCCAAGCAAAATTGTCCACTATCCACTCAGACTGTTACACACAATCATTAAAATTTCTCATGGATAACAAATTAGAACAAGCACCCTACCTTATCAGAAGCAAATAAATAAGCATAGAAATTGCCAATAGCCAACTAGGTTTCATTCATATTTAGACTAACATTGATAAGATTATCCCACAAGAGGCTCTAATGGGCATGATTTGGTTCAGCATAAATGCAGGGAAGCTAAAAAAATCTTATTAAAATTACATTTTGGTCAATAAAAACATGTATGAGTTGTGTAGTTGAAAAACCATACCGACTACTCACATTCGAGTCATTCTAAATTCAAAATGTGCCACTCTAGTAACGCCTGAAGTGGCAAAGAAGTTGAGCCCAAAACAGATAGAGAAGCCGATCATAATGTGCAGCTGTATATGCACTAATAATAGCGCCTGAAGTGGTAGAGGAGTTAAGCCCTTGCTTCCAACTTCATAGAACCCAACCTTCATTGCCTTTGTCCTCGTGTAGTCCTAATCGGTGTAACCACACTAGTACATCACATGGTCTACTCCGCACACCAAACTAGTTTGAAAGCACTTCATAAGCATGACAATGATATCATTTTCACACAGAAGATGCCTTCCAACAACAGCTTAAGGATGT